GCGCCAAAACTTGATTGGACGTCGTCAACCTATCAAGAAATAAGACCTAACTCGATCCTACTAAACTAGTAGCAAGGGCAAGAAAGGGTCGAACCCATGAGAGGCGTTGAATCAACCACCAAATGTTATTGTTTAAACAAGCTAGATTAAGTCGGGGGTTTTAAGTTGGTATTACGTCACACTATTCTAATTCAAATCAACTAATTCTAAGAGGTGATTAACAATATTAAGAAGGCCTAGGGCATGGGTTACACCACTCAACTTCATCACGGACCACAAGTAGCATGCATAGAAATGGTGATTTAGGGGATAAATTAGGGGAAGTTATCAAATGCACCCAACTACTCTCTCAAGCTAGAGGGATTACTTGACATCAAAACCATAACCTACTCTCGTGATTATGGGCAAGAAACAAGTGTTAAAACATCCTCACGATAACATGCAAATTCCCTTGACTAGAAATTCCTATTCTCATGGCAAATCAAGTCAATCAAGCATAAGGGAGCTTCCTCAAGTTCATCTCTCGATCCTTCGTTGAGGAAGCTAGATAAATAATTCAAGCAATGGCCAATTACAAGAATTAACAATGAAACCTCTTAAACTCAACTAATTAACACCCCACAATTAACAAATTAGTACATGCAACAAGTGTTGGTGATTACATTGAGGGTTCACCCAAACCCTAGAAATTAGACTACTCACAATCCATGGAAGTTAAAGCAATTAAAGATTTCAAGGAATTCATGAACAAATTAAAACTAAGAATTAAGTAGAATCTAACAATTAAACATGCAAAGAACAACCAAACAATTAATAAAAAGCAAGAATTAAAGATAGAAGAGAGAAAGAAAGAGTAAGAAAAATTACTAGAAACTTCAATAATTGACTAACAATGGTGGAACTTGTCTTCTACAATGATTGGATTGAAAACCTTCAAAACAAGAACTAAAATCTATGCTAATTTGAGGATTTTTGTGTTTCAAACTAAGAGGAGTATGAAAATCTGGAAAAAAAATTGGGAACCCCTCTAAAATGGTCCAAAGGGGCTATTTATATTACCCCCTAAAATAAGAGGACGGAGAAAACAAGAAACGGGTAAACTGTAGGTCTGCACGGACGTGCTGAAGTTGGCACGTCCGTGCAGACCAAGGCAGAAACTCAGTTTAAGACGACCTGCTGCAGCACGGGCGTGCACCTTTGGCACGTCCGTGCTGCATCATCTGCACGGACGTGCAATATTTGGCACGTCCGTGCTGCCTCATAATCACGGAAGCACGTCCGTGCTGCATCATCTGCACGGACGTGCAATATTTGGCACGTCCGTGCAGGCCTTGGCAGAAAGATGGGTTCAGGTCTGCACTCCTGCACGGACGTGCAACATCTTGCACGGCCGTGCAGGGTCTTCTGGGCCCTTTTCTTCGTGTTTTCTTCTACGATGCTCTTGTACTTGGATTCTTTCCATCATTTCCTTGCTTCTAACCTCGGTTTGGTAACCATGGGCTTCATTTGGTCGTCTTTGGACCTAAAATCTCAACAAAAACACTAACAACCCGTGAAGCATAGGATGCACAAAAATTGCATAATAATAGGGTAAAAGTGAACCAAAACACAAATTTGTTCAGGTAAACTAGGTTCAAATACGCCCTAAAACCGCATAAAATAGCAAGTTATCAGTCCAGACCCCGGAACTGGTTCAACAGCGTCTGGGTCCGGTTCCAAAAACAAGGACCCGATTGCAACCAATTCCAATTCCATGTCCTAAGTTTTTGGAACCGGTACTGAGTGGGTACCCGATTAACTAGTTCGTTCTACGTCAGTTTTTTTAGACCATGAGAGTTAATTGGAGCTTGCAACACGTTTTTTTGTAAGCCCAATAATCCAATAATATACCGTTTTCTTACCCATATATGTAATGAATCCTATCTACCAAACCCTAAAAGTTAAACAATCTTTACCGCCGTCATACCTCACATTCACTCTCTTTTTCTCACGTAGTCTTCCATTCTTGCATCTCCTAGCTAGTCTCAGTATAATTCTTTTTTTTTTCCTCTCTTTTCAATTATCTCTACAAATGTAACTAAATTAGTAAATGCTTACAATTAGATGAAAGCAAATGTGTATAAAATAACTCTACTTTTGAGATGTTTCTTTGATTTTTTATTTTATTTTTTTTATTTTTATATATATCAATAAATCCACTATTATTAATGATTAACTAATTTTTGAGGTTGATTTAAGAGAGATGATTACATGAGATTTGATTTTGAAGTCAGAGATTATTTTTTGGTTGAAGCCATAGCGTCGTGATCCAATTAGATGATGATAAGCTGGGTACCCGGTTTTGGAACTGGTTCAAGGACCAGTTCCGAGTTTATTAGACCTGGTTAGGACCCGTTCCAATATCGGGTCCAAAATTTTTGACCCGGCACTAACCGGGTTCGGTTCCAATTCCCTTCAATTTGACCGGGTACCCGGTCTTGCTCACCCCTAGAAAGAGGGAAGAGGGTTGGGTGTCAAGTTGGAGATTTGGGGAAGCGAGTAAGGGGAAAAGGAGAGTTTGGATGTTGTAGATCGGAGAAAAGGAGGGGTGTGGGGTCTCCGCTGCCAAGAAAGGGGTGGTCGCCGGCTGTAGGACATTTGGCAAGGGAGCAGGTAGGTAGGGGTGCTGCAGTGGATAGGTACTTTGGGAGTGTCGGGACTTTTTTAACAAGTTTTTTTTTTTGTTTATATGATATAATTGTTGATTGATTTGTTTAAAAAAAAAATAATAAAAAATAAATCCTAATTAATTTTTTTTGTGTGAAGAAGGACCGACCACATAATGACATGTGGCACACAATTCACCGCAATAACCGGTGATCCCAAAATTAAGTAGGTCATGACTCATTTTAAGAAGATACTATGTAAAGGTCGATTTATTTTTAGTTAATCAAAAGGTTGACTAAAGTTTGGCTAATTTTTGACAAATTTTCCAATTCCTGCCAAGCTATGTTTCTATGCTTAGGTTGCTGGATCACATGGCATGTACCTATCGAATTTGCTTCCTATCTTACCTTTACGTATCTAATTGCTTTGAAGATGGAGTTTTAACCTCACACTGTTGATGCAATGACAATGCTATCCATTTACAATGAGTAAAAAAAAATGTATTTGACACTGTCTAATATGTTTGACAAAATCCTTGCTCTCTCCCTCTCTCTCTCTCTCTCTCTCACACACACACACACACACACACATGCACACATTTTACCACAGTTACATCTTAATATGCCTATTTCTTCAAGTTATTAGTGCACCTAAACAGGGTGCATCACATTGCTTCAGAGGTTGCCATCTTATTTGGAGGGGGTGGGGGGAGGGACCGAGGGACTAAGGGTTATGCATTGTTAGGCAGTTTAGGGTTTCTAAGTTTCTGGACAGCGTGACCTCTTTGTCTGTATTTGTTTGCTGCATATGATTGGTTTTCTAATGTGCATCATGGCGCATGCAAATTTAAGTACTATAACAATGAATATATCTTGAAATCATGATTATGACACAGACAACATGGATACATTGGATTGAGTTTTCAAGTCATTGCTGTATTAGATGATAACATCATAGATATTGCTATACATTACTGTTGCAGATTTTCGGTGAATTGATGCAATCATTCTGATTATCTCGTGGCACCAGAGAACCACTGTAATAAAAAAGAGGAGGTGGGATTATGGCCTTCATTAATGATAGTATAAGTAGTATTGGCTTTTCAGTATGATGGTGCAATTGGCCTATCAGCTTCGGATTCAAGGAGGGACATGACTAAAAATGCGATAAGTATAAAGGATGGACATGACTAAAAATGCGATAAGTATAAAGGATGGACATGACTAAAAATGCGATAAATATAAAAATACGATGAATATAAAGAGGAGGTGGGCTTATGACCTTCACTAATATTTATGTAGGTTAGCTATTTTGGGATAGTTGAAGTATGATCAGAGAAGACATCATGATAAGGATGAGGTCTAAAAGGATTATTTATTACCTTTGTGGTTGATTGTTGTCGAAGTTATACAAAGGGGGTCATTGAATAACTCCATGCGTCACCTTCATTGAGCAATCTTTATAATATGTCGTAGGTTACTAAGCAATGATAAGTTAAGCACGCTTAGGGTTTTGGCTCCTACACATATTTAGGTTACACATTGTGTTTCAACATCGAGAATTTTTCTCATTGTTCATTTATAATTGTGTAACACATATGACAAATATGAACCTTAAAAGTCGTTTTGAGGTATCGGTGGAAGTCCTTCTTTTGGACCGTACCCTTTATGTTGGCAAAAAATTCTGTAGTTCTTGAGTTTAGACTCTCCACACTCTGCAGTTGTGCTTTTGCTTCATGTTACCCTAGGTTGCAGCTGTTTCCTGCTGAGTGTTTTACTTGTTCGATATGCTCCACTATTATTGTTCAGAAGAGCTTAACCTATGGTTTTATTTTCTGAAAAACATGTCTTGCTAATTCCAATTGATTGGGAGTGCATCAATGATCTATGCACATCTAGATCTCCGAAAATGTTTTTGTTGTTTTTTCTAAGCTACATTTAGTATGAAATTACCTTTTAATATACTGAGTATCATATCAGTAGTCCCATTTCTAATATGCAGTATTTTTCTTAGAAAACATCTATAAATGGCAGTTTGAAACTTTGAACCTTTGACAGTAAACCTAACTGTCAATTAATTCCTGCCCATCTATTTTTTTTCTTTTTTTTTTTAATCGCTAAAATCTATTTCTTCATTATGGGTGCTCTTGGTTAAGTGCCGGTTGTATGTGCGAGGGAGGGAGGGAGGGAGGGGGAGAATCTAATGTGACATGCACAATCTTCTTTCTTACCTATTCATGACCCTTACTTTTTGAATTCCTGATTTATAAACAAAATTTTTTCTTACTGTATGAAATTTGGGTGATTGGATTCTGAAATTAAACTTTTGTGATCTATGTCAATTGCCTGATGCAGCCTGCCTCAGTTCCTTCTTCTGATTCCCTTCCTGAAAGACCTGGAGAACCAGACTGTCCGGTATGTATAATTGTATATTTTCTCTTTAAAATGCCTTTGTGAGTTAATTTATGTGCTTCCTTACTCTTGCTATATTTTCAGTACTTCCTAAAGACTCAAAAATGCAAATTTGGTCAGATGTGCAAATTTAATCATCCGAAGGATAAACTGGTAGGAGAGTAGGCTTACATTGTTTAATTTTGTCAGACTATTACTGTTGGTGACTAATAGTAAGATTTTTTTCCCCCAGGATTCATCTAGCTGTAAAACCGATGATCCAGATTTACCTGATAGACCATCTGAGCCTGTTTGTTCGGTGTGTTGCTCAACCATTTTCTGGCCATGACTCTCTTCTAGTTTTTGTCTCTTTTATTCTCAATTTTTTATATCTTCTACATAATATGGTGATTTTACATATGTGCTTATGTGAACAGTTCTACATGAAAATGGGAAAATGTAAATTTGGTACATCATGCAAATTTCATCATCCTAAAGATATTAAAGTCCCATCAAATAAACAAGAAGCTGGTGATGGAGTGCAGACTCATTCAATTGATCAGAATGGTAGTGATGGTACTGCTGGTGATGGAAATATAATCAAACCCACCTCAAATGCTGCATTATCATATAACTCGAAAGGACTGCCTATGCGCCCGGTTAGTCCAAAATGAAAAACTTTGATCTCATTTAAAGATTAGACTATTTATATGTTCATTTGTTTACATTCTATTATGTACCAAATTCTCACAATGCAATTAACGGTAATTAAAGGCAATAAAAGGGGAAAGCTTGAGTATTTTGATTGATCAACAGGCTGAATTACAGATTACAAAAGATAGGCATAACTTTAGGCTATGAGTCTCTTAGTGACTTTAGGCCACTACTCTCACAAGGAACTTCACTCAAATTTCTGGGTGATTTCTTCCTAACGTTAGACTACAATACTTATACTCAGAGCTTAGTTAATACACGTGACATTTTAATTAACTAAAATGGAAACCCACAAAAGTATGATTAAAGGAAGCTGTTTTCTTCCCCTATTTCCTCTTTAATTGGCTTTGTCCTGTTGCTCCCTGTTCCTTGGTTCTGTTGGCCCTTGCTGCCCCTTCCTTGTGCGCCTCATATACACCAAAAGTGGTGGTTGACTTACGGTGTTGACCCCGTTGCCCCAGTTCATAACATCACTCCCCCCTTTGAGTTTCACCTTGTCCTCAAGGTGGAATGCCGGGAACCGCTGCTGAATGGTGCCATACTCCTCCCAAGTTGCTTCAAATTCGGGTAACTCCTTCCATTTAATTAAAACCTCGAGTTCCGGGGTCGTGCCCTGCTTCCTCCATCGTACCGACAAGAGCTCCTCCGGCTCGACGATCATCTCCAAGTCCGGAGACAATTGTTGCGGGATGAGGGGTTGGCTGGTGAGGCTCCCCAATGCGCGTTTCAGTTGTGAAATATGAAATACAGGATGAATTTTGCAATTGTCGAGTAGTAGGAGTTTGTATGCCACTCGTCCAATTTTTTCCAAGACTTCAAATGGACCATAGAACCTCGCCGCAAGCTTCTCAAATGGCCTCTTTGCGGGAGATTTCTTACGGTATGACCGTAATTTCAGAAACACCAATTCCCCTTCTTCAAATTGCTCCTCTCTTTTACTCTTATCAGTGTTCCCCTTCATGATCTGTTGTGCTCGGTTGAGATTCATTCGAAGCTCATCTAAGATTGCATCCCTTTCCTTCAGCCCTTCTTCTAGGCTGCTGACTGTCTCGTTCGCCCCTAAACGCCATAACTTTGGAGGATCTCTCCCATAAACAACTTTAAATGGGGCCATTTTGGTAGATGTGTGAGGGGACGTATTATAAGAATATTCCGCTCACGGCAACCATTCAGCAATGAAGTGCCTGAGATATGATTCTAAACATTTGTTGACGTCTGGCCGTCGGGGTGGTAGGCCGTGCTTCTTTTGAGGTGCGTGCCTTGTAGCGGGAAGAGTTCCTTCCAGAAGGTACTTTTGAACACATGGTCTCGGTCGGAGATAATGAACAAAGGAAAACCATGGAGTCGAACAACCTCCCTCACGAAACAATCGGTCACTTTGAGCGCGTTAAAGGGGTGTTTTAGCCCAATAAAGTGGCCGTACTTTGACAACCGATCGACAACCATCGGCACGGTGTCAACCCCTCGTTACAACGGTAATCCCTCCACAAAGTCCATGGAGATGTCTTCCCAAATCGCCTCGGGAATCGGAAGTGGTTGAAGCAACCCGAGTGGATTCTTGGTGGTGGATTTATTCCGTTGGCAAACTTCGCATTCTCTGACATGCCTTCCGACAGCCTTCCGCATCCCAGAACCAATCGGCGGAGAGTCGGAGATATGTTTTGATCTCTCCATCGTGGCCTCCCACTGGTGTATTGTGGTACTCATGTAAGAGTAGAGGGATGAATTTAGAGTTACTGGGCAAGACAACCCTGTTCTTGTAGAAAATTCGATTCCCTTCAAGGTGGAAACCTTTGGGCCCACCCTTTCCTTCTTTCAAGCCCACTAGGATATTGCCCAACCATTTATCTTATGCCAGCACTTTTTCCAATTCGGCCCAGTCCATAAATTGTGAATGAACCATAATTTGTAACTTAGCCCTTCAGAACTCACCATCTCTTTCACTCCCCTGCTTCCCTTTTCGCGACAGAGCATCAGCTCTGTTCGCAGCTCCGGGTTTGTAGTGGATTTCGAAGTCGAATCCCACTAATTTGCGAAGCCATCTTTGATATTCGCTCCCCACCTCACGCTGTTGTATCAAGAACTTCAAACTTTGTTGGTCCGTTCGAATCACGAACTTCCTACCCAACAAGTAATGTCACCACTTAGTCACCGCAAGAGCTATGGCCATGAGCTCCTTCTCGTAGATGGACCTCCCTTGAGCTCGGACTCCCAAAACCTTGCTATAATAAGCTATTGGGCGCCCCTTTTGCATCATTACCGCTCCCAAGCCAAAGCCCGAGGCATCGGTTTCCACAATAAATTGCTCCCGAAAGTCAGGCATCGCCAATATCGGCGCGGTAGTCATGGCTGCCTTGAGTCTATTGAAGGCATGTGTGGCTGCCTCCGTCCAACCATACGAGTCCTTCTTTAATTGTGAAGTCAAGGGTTCCGCAATTTGAGCGTAGTGATGCACAAACTTGCGGTAATACCCCGTAAGTCCCAAGAATCCCCGGAGTTCCTTGAGATTCTTCAGCACCTCCCAGTCAAGAACCGCCTTAACCTTTTCTTGATCCATAGCAACCCCGTGCTCGGATATTACATGACCTAAATAGGCCACCTCCCTCTCACCGAACTCACATTTTTATTCCAATTAGCGTAGAGGCTATGCTCCGCTAACTTTTGCAACACTAATTTTAGATACTCTCGGTGCTCCTCACACCCCTTACTAAAAATAAGAATATCGTCGAAGAAAACCAAGACGAATTTCCTCAAAAACGGCCGAAATACATCGTTCATTAACGATTGGAATGTCGCCGGAGCATTAGTAAGCCCAAAAGGCATTACTAAAAACTCATAGTGCCCCTCGTGGGTCCGAAATGCGGTTTTGTGTGTATCTTCCGGCCTCACTCGTATTTGATGGTACCCCAATTTCAAGTCTAACTTCGAGAATATTTTTGACCCGTGCAACTCATCTAATAGCTCCTCAATCCACGCAAAATCTCCATGACCCGTCTTTTTTCTTGACTAAGAGCACCGGGCTAGAGAACGGACTACTTGGCGGGGTGATGATCCCGGCCTCAAGCTTGAGGGTATCTATAGGGCCTTACTGAAATTGGGTCACACCCATCCTTCAAAAGAATGGAGTGTTCATGGCCCCTTTGTGGTGGAAGCCCACTAGGAAATTCAAACACTTGCTTGTACTGATCCAACAAACCTTCCAAGAATTTCGGTGGGCCTGATTTAGTTGGGCCTAGCGCTTCTTCTTCCAACTTGTTCACTTCCACCAAAATCCCTTGCTTCTCCTTGGATAGAACCCGTAGCATGGCTTTCAAGGATACTTGGGATTTTTCCAAGATGGATCGCCGGTGATTGTCACTGGAGTACCCCCCACCGTGAATTTCATCACGTGCGTCCGCCAATTTGTGACCACCGACCCTAGCTTCTCCAACCATTGCACCCCTAGGATTACCTCCGCATTACCTAGTGCTAGAGGTAGGAAATCCTCCACCACCGTGACTCCCCCTTTTAGTTCCACCTTCACACCCTTACAAACTCCAACACCATGCACCTTATCCCCATTTCCCAAAGCTACCGAGAACTCTCCACCCTTCTCCACCTCGATTGCCGCGTCCTCCTCCACCTTCCGGGAAACAAAATTATGAGCGGCCCCCGGGTCCACCATGACAACTACCTCTCTTCCCTTCACTACGCCTCTCAATTTCATGGTTTTAGGATTCGATAATCCCACGACCGAGCAAAGTGACACCTCCACCGGTGGTGGATCGTACACCACTAGCTCGTCCTCCTCCTTGACATCTTCCTCCTTCGCCCCTTCGCTCACAATTAACACACTAAGCTCCTTCCGTTTGCACCGATGGCCCACACCCCACCGTTCATCACATTTGAAACACAGTCCCTTTAACCGCCTCTTCGCCAACTCGGACTCCGTGAGCCGTCGGGTTCCTCCACTAGAGCTTTGAGCTGGGCTAGGCTAGTTCGGCCCACATTCATGGAGCGTTGAGATTCAGGAGCCTTGGCCAAGCTTTGGGTGGCCCATTGTTATTGGGTAGCCCGTAAGTTTGAACCAACCCCTTATTCTGTGTAGACCCACCGTGGGCGGCTGAACTTGTAATTGAGGGCCCACCACTAGTTCCTCCCCTCCAATTCATGACAGGACCCTTACTTTGTTGCACTCTATTCCGCTCTTCAATTCTATTGGCTATTTCCATGGCCCTCTCTAAATATGGTGGATTAAGCAACCTCAGTTCCGCCATAATCCCCTTGTTCAGGCCATTAATGAATTGACCAAGCATCAAACTCTCCGGAACGTCCTCCAATGGAGCCGCCAATTCTATGAACCGCCGGCGGTACTCCGCCACCGAACCGCCGCCCTGTGAAGCCGCCGCCACTGCTCGTGTAAGGTCCCCAAGTGAGACGACCGAAATTCGTTCAAGACCCGTTGTTTGAAATCCGGCCAACCGTAAAACAGCCGCCGCTTCTGTTCCCACTGGAACCACTTAAGTGCTGCTCCGTCCATGGCAACCACGAATGCCTCCATCTTCTCTCTCTCGGTCAGGCGATAGAAATCGAAATACATTTCGGCTCGAGCGGTCCAGCTATCCGGGTCGGTCCCGTTGAATATTAGCATCTCCAACTTCCTACGCTTCCAATGACCACCGCCGCTACCTCCACCGCTACCTCCACCGCCGTCTCCGTCGCCACTCCAACGCCAACCACTCTGGAGGTGGCTGTTAGTCTTGCTCTTCGTACGGCCGTTCTTTGACCGGTGTACGGATGTTTTCCATCTCATGCCGTGGGCTGCTCTCTCCCGTCAAAGGAATGGCTTGCGGAATTTGCTGTGGGGTTTGTCTCGTTTTCTCCATCTCTTCCTGCAACTTGGTGATCTTCCCACGATCAATTGCGACTTGATATCTACGGTAACTCTGAAGCGATCCAACCGATCCTCCATCTTGTCAATGGCGGCTGCCACGACCTCCTCTGTTTTCTTCCTTTCTTCGGCGATTTTCTGCCATTCCTCCTCCATGGCCGCCCTTACGGCTGCCGTCACAGCTCGTGAAAGGTTGTCATCTGGGGTTTGCAATTTTTCCACGATTGTAGCTATCTGAGTTTTCAGATCAGCTAGTGTTCCTTCCATGGCGTCCATCCTCTGCGAGGTATTGTCTTCCTTTTTTTTTAATGGGGTGGTGGTACCGACGGCCGCAGGACCACCGCTCTGATACCAAGATGTTATGTACCAAATTCTCACAATGCAATTAACGGTAATTAAAGGCAATAAAAGGGGAAAGCTTGAGTGTTTTGATTGATCAACAGGCTGAATTACAGATTACAAAAGATAGGCATAACTTTAGGCTATGAGTCTCAGTGACTTTAGGCCACAACTCTCACAAGGAACTTCACTCAAATTTCTGGATGATTTCTTCCTAATGTTAGACTACAATACTTATACTCAGAGCTTAGCTAATACATATGACATTTTAATTAACTAAAATGGAAACCCACAAAAGTATGATTAAAGGAAGCTGTTTTCTTCCCCTATTTCCTCTTTAATTGGCTTTGTCCTTGGTTCTGTTGGCCCTTGCTGCCCCTTCTTTGCGCGCCTCGTATACACCAAAAGTGGTGGTTGACTTACGGTGTTGACCCCGTTGACCCAGTTTATAACACATTCCAGAAGTATTTTATTAGTCTATTCTTACCATCTGCCTTTAATCAAATTGGGGTTGTAGAGATAAATAAACTTAGTCCCTTATTGTATTTGGAGAGATAAATAACCTTAGTCCCTTATTGTATTTGTAGAAAGAGTTTTTAATCGTCCATAAATAAAATAATTTGTCTGCACTTCTGTAGTTCCATGCACAAATTCTTACGTTAACCATCTGAATAACCTTTTGATTTAGCTGGAATAATTCATTCAGTTTATTTATTAAACCATAGTTCACAGCCCTCCTGAGTAACAATAAGCTGATTAGTCTTTGTCAATAAATGCTATATGATGGGGTATATGAATTTAGTTATAATTGTAGAACACCTACATGCTGTCAAATTCAACAAGTATTCTCATTTTCTTCATGAGCTGGATCAGGAATTACATGAAGTGATTGTTAGGTGACGAGTGATTTATCAGTAGTTCATGTATGTCCCATGTTTTCTTCCTAAAAAAAAGTGAAAGGTAGAAATTCTATACTTGGCTTTGTGCCTGTTGACAATGTATTTGGCCCTGGTCTTCTCATAATATTTTAGTCAGAACTGATGCTTTATAGCCTACTTGTGACAGGATGAAGTTGATTGCCCATTCTACATGAAAACTGGCAGGTGAACATGACAGTGCTGATCTAGGTCTTTTGGCTTCAAAGTTTTGGTTATATTGCTTACTATATATTTCTAATCTCTCTCAGCTGTAAATATGGGATCACTTGCCGATACAATCATCCTGATAGGAATGGTAATAGTTGTGTTTGCTTTTCTTTTTTCTTTAATGCTTGAAGATTACATAGCAAGTGCTTAATATTGTGGAATTGCTTCACAGAATTGTTGTCTCCCTACTCAGTTATCAATCCCACTGCTGCAATGGTTGGCCATACAGTTTTTCCTTCATTAGCAAACTTTAATGTGGGGTTTGTCAATCCAGCTGCCTCCATTTTCCAAAGTCTTCAACCTGGGCTGGCTCAAACAATGGTAATTTCATTGTGCTTCTTGCAACATAATCTCTGTTGCATATTGAACAAGCATGATATTACAACATTGCATGCTTTTCATCAGTATATATTTGCCCTGTGCTACTATACCTTTCTACTTATTTGCTTCCATTCCACAGCGCTCTCATTAGCGATTTTTTTAATCTTTCATCCTTCTTCTACTTCAGGTGCACCATCTTATGTGAAGAAAAGATAGGGCTTAAAGTCTAAATTTATGATCTGAACCTTTTATTATTGTGTATTACAAGTGTTAGGCAAAATATGTGTCATTAGATCAGGGTAATATTGTCTATTTTACTAAAATAGAGAGTTCTAACATCTTATTACCTGCCTCTCCCCCTCTCCCCAAGGTAAAAAATTGCTAGAGATTAGTTTAGAAAACAGAGTAATTCAAGCAGAGCAAGAGAAAATTAGCCAAACCAAAGATAGATTGTATTTCAAGTCAGAGTAACTACAATACAACTCCCTTCTTTTGAGAGGAAAGGACGCTCCCCAAGGAATATTTTCCACAGTAATTTTCTAGATGGTTTCCCCCATTACAATTCCCTCCTTAAATACCCAAAACTAATTACCAAACTCAGCACACAATACAAGGTTTAACAAACTTATTTCCTAGAATACCAAATTACCCCTCCCTGTAACTTACTTCCAACTCTCTCCAGCTCCTATTTCCATATATGGCTTCTGTTTGAGCCTTCTCCGAGCATATGTGAAATGCACTACTGGCTAGGCTGATCTCTTGCAATACCTCCCACCCAAAAAAGCACCTTGTCCTCAAGGTGGAAGTGAGGAAACCGAGCTGCAATCTCATCATAGTTCTCCCTAGTGGCTTCAAAATCCTGTAGCCCAGTCCATTTAATCAAAACCTTAGTGGCTGCCTGTTAATTTCGCACACCAAGGACTGACTCCGGCTCCACCTCCATGACCAGGTTAGCTGTGGCAGTTGGGTAGGCAATTGCTCTGGCCCCACAACTTTTTTCAACTGAGAAATGTGGAAGACAGGATGTATTGTAGGGGGGGGGGGAGCTGCAGCTTATAAGCCACCTTCCCAAGACGTTCAAGGACAGGGTAAGGTCCATGGAAACGAGGTGACAGCTTCTCAGAACGCCTCTTAGCAACAGATTGTTGTCTATATGGTTGCAACTTGAGATAGACCAAATCCCCAACTTCAAAGAACCCGTTCCTGCGAGACTTATTCTCATATTGCTGCATATAGACCTTGGCCTGCACCAGGTTGTATTTTAAATCATCCTAGATAGCATCTCGTTCTTGCAACTAATCCTCCAAGGAAGAGAGAGCGGTGTTCCCCGGGGAGAACCTGACCAAGTAGGGTGGGTCCCTGCCATAGAGATCTTTAAAAGGTGTGCAATAAGTGGCGGTATGGAAGGCTGTGTTGTACGGATACTCTGCCAATGCAACCAGTTTGCCCAACTAGAAGGCTTTCCATATCTCGTTCTTGCAACTAATCCTCCAAGGAAGAGAGAGCGGTGTTCCCCGGGGAGAACCTGACCAAGCAGGGTGGGTCCCTGCCATAGAGATCTTTAAAAGGTGTGCAATAAGTGGCGGTATGGAAGGCTGTGTTGTACGGATACTCTGCCAATGCAACAAGTTTGCCCAACTAGAAGGCTTTCCATTCACAAAACAACGCAAGTATGATTCCACTCCCTTGTTTACCACCTCGGTCTGACCATCCGTTTGAGGGTGGTATGCCGTGCTTCGTTGAAGTTGAGTACCCTGCAAACTGAACAATTCTTTCTAGAAAATGCTAAGAAAGACTTTGTCTCGATCTGACACAATTGAGGAAGTAGCCTCACCACTTCCTTCACAAGGTCTGAGCAATTTGAGCTGTGTAGGGGTGCCGTAGAAGAATGAAATGACCATACTTAGTTAACCTATCCACGACTACAAGTATGGTGTCCCATTAAGTGACTTTGGAAGACCTTCTACAAAATCCATGTAGATGTCTTCCCAAACTCTTTTGGGATAGGAAGGGGCTGGAGGAACCCTAGAGGAGACAAGGTTGACGCCTTGTTATGGTGGCATAAATGACAATTCTGAACATATTTCGTCATGTCCTTGTGTATGCTTGCTAGTACCACTCACTTGCAAGCCTCTGGTATGTTTTGAAGTCCCCCGCATGCCCCAATGGGAGAGTCATGGTATAACTTTGTTGTGAGGTCGTCTTGCTTGGGGATGACTACCCTATCTTTATACTTTAGCACCCCGTTGTCAAGTGTGAACCAGTGTTTGAAAAAGCGCGCCTAAGGCGCGCCTAGGCGATGAGGCGCAAGGCGATAGGGGGTAAGCGCATTTTTTGGCCTTGGCAAGGCGATTTTGATTAGGCGCACTTGAGGTGCCTGAGCGCATAAGGCGCTCGAGGCGCACATGAAGCAAAATTCTGCCAATTTTTTTCAAGAATTTATATAGTGCGCCTCACTTCAATGGTGCGCAATATCCCTTATCGCCTTAGCGCGCCTTGAGCTTTTTTATACATTGGTGTGAACCCTTTCGGGACTGATTTCCATAAATGAGCTTCTAAATGGTGGTGTCCTTTTCTATAAAAGAGAGTATGAATTTCCATTGAACTCCGCAACAAGTGACCAGAGTAGCACACTCAATTGCTGTCCCATGGTGCTTGGACACAACATCCGCCACCCTATTAGTAGGGCCAGGTTTGTAGTGTATGTCAAATGTATACCCCAATAGCTTGCTTACCCATTTTTGGTATGTCTGACCCACTTCCTTCTGCTCTATGAGGTTGCGTTGATCAGTCCTTACAATGAACTGTCTACGTAGCAGGTAGACAATAGCCATAAGTTCTTTTTCATATATTGGCTTAGACCAAGCTCTAAAGCCTAAGACCTTGCTAAAATACACCACTGGGTGGTTCTTTTGCAGCAGGACAGCCCCTAAACCATGCCCCGAAGCATCGGTTTCCACTATAAAAGGTAGTGTGAAGTCGGGAGTTGCCAAGATTGAGTGCTTCAAACGCAGAAATAGCCTCATCAGACCACCCAAAACAATCTTTGTGCAATTGAGAGTCAAGGGTTGAGCAACCAGAATAAATTTACGGTAGTAGCCTGTGTAGCTCTTTGATGGTGGTCGGTAGGGGCCACTCCACCATAGCTTGCACCTTCGAAGCATCAACTTCAACACCCGCTTTTGAGATGACATGCCCCAAATAAGCCACCCTTGACTTGCCCACCTCACTTTTTAAAATTGGCATAAAGTTGATGAGCTACTAATGAGCTACCAGTGTTTCCAGCACTTGTTTGAGATGGCCTTGGTGAGACTTTTCACAACGACTATACACTGGAATGTCGTCAAAGAAAACTAATACGAACTTGCGCAAGAAGGGCGGGAAAACTTCATTCATTAATGACTGAAAAGTTGCAGGAGCATTCGTCAATGATGCACGGATACTGGCAATCTTCAGCCGTCTCCCGTACCGGGGACGGGTACGGCCCGAATACGTCCCCATGGCGTACCCTTGAAAAGTGGTATGCGGAGATATTTTGTACGTTTCGGGGACGGATTTGCTTCTTTTTTGACGCCCCCAGCCATTTAAAACTAAAAAACCCCTAATCTACTTTCTGATTTCAATTTCTCAAGAACCCTAAAAATTGGAGAAGCCACCTACAATGTGCGACCCACGATTCCTTGGAGGCTTCTCTGCCGACCACCTACGACGGACACCCATAGCCGGAAATCGGCGACTGGAGACCAGCAGCAAACCTTAAAGAGTTCTTCAGTTCTGAGCCTCTCTCTCTTCCTCTTTTCTTCAATTAAATTGATTGAGGTTTAGATATTTATAAGTTTTGTTTTTTTCTTTTTTTTTTTTTTTTAATTTTTTTTTTAATTTTTTTTTTAATTTTTTTTATAGTATAAACTATAAACTATAAAGTACTTTGTATTATTGTATTAATAAGGGTTTTTTTTTTAATTTATTTTTTTTACTGTAGCTATAGCCTTTAGCTTGTAGTCAGTAGGAGGTTTTTTTTTTTTTTTTTTTTTTTTTTTTTTTTTTTTTTTTTTTTTACCTATATTTCTTTTAACTTGTAGTGTATGGAGTAATTTAAAAAAAAAACATTTTATGGTTTTATATTTTGGTGATTTTTTTTTTGCCGTACCCGTTTTTTGGAATTTTGATTTTGCCGTATCCTGTCTCCGTACCCGTATTTGTACCCGTATCCGTTTCCGTGCAACCTAGGCATTCGTGAGGCCGAAGGGCATTACCAAGAACTCGTAATGCGCCTTGTTGGTGCAGAAAGCTGTCTTCTGCACTTTTAAATCCAGTTTTGTAAAAATTGTAGACCCACATAATTCATCCAACAACTCATCAATCATAGGCATAGGGAATTTATCAGGACGGTGTCTTTATTTAATGCCCTATAATCTACACAAAAACGCCAACTACCATATTTCTTTTTAACTAGTAGAACAAGACTAGAATAGGCACTAGTAGAGGGTAGTATGATACCTGCCGCAAAATATCAGTTACCAGCTTCTCGATCTCATCTTTCCGGGGTAGCGATAGGGTCGCACATTGATGGGATCTGCACCATTTTTCAAAACAATGGAGAGTTCAATCTGCCTCCTCGGAGGTAAACCATCAAGCATGTTAAAAACTTGTTAAAACTCCTGAATTAAGGCCCGAAATGCTTTGGGAACTTCCTGATTTTTTCCTCCATCACCCTCTCCTCTGATTGAATTCAAGTTAGAATCCTTGGCCTTCTTTCTTTAATGACTTAAACATGGCCTTTAGTGAGATGCCAGATGAAACTTTCTGCCTGAGGACCGCCCTTTAGAGGGTCTGGGTTTTACAATTGGAAGTGGTCGTGCCCAATTTCTCAAGCCACTGTATTCGCAAAATCAAGTCAGAATTTCCCAGTGGAAGAACCAAGAAATCCTCGACTATGGTAACTCACTAAACATCCAGCACGACTCCTCTACAAACGCCACTTCCTTGCACCGCCTCCTCCCGTGCCCAATGTTACCCCAAAGCTCATCGCCTCCGTCACCGGAATTTGGAGCTGTTGCGCGGCTATTGTTGAAAAGAAATTGTGCGTTGCTTCCGGATCAATCATAATTACCATGTCCTTGCCCTCGATCGAACCCAGCAATCTCATTGTCTTAGGGCTGGTCAAACCCACAACAGAACTTAGGAAAACATCGGGTGTAGGCTCAAGAGTGATTGCAGGTGGTGTTGGTTCGCGGAGAGTTTCGACCGTCGATAACTCACCGGAACTATCCCACTCTTCGTCATCCACCGTTGTTCGAGGTTCCACTTTTCGTCACATCGGAAACAAGGGCCTTGTTCCCGTTTTTGCTAAAGCTCTTTCTCCGATAACCGCCTTATTTCGCCGGTGGATTTGTGGTTGAAGGGGTGGTATGATTTGAGTAGAGATGGTTGGTGCGGGTGTGGTGGGTTGGTTTTGTGTTTAGGGTCGTAAGGGTCTGAGGTGTGGAATGTGAGTGAGGTCGGAGGTTTGGAGATGGAATTCGCCAACTAGGTAAGCTTTCAATGGGTTTGGGCCGTGGGCTAAGCCTCAACTTCTCCTCACGCAATGCCAGCTCCATGGCTCGATCCAGAATAACCGGGTCCAGATTCCGAACCTCGACCCAAATTTCTTCTTGTAGCCCCTTATTAAGCTGTCCTTTTGTGATTTCCTCGGGAGCATCTTCAATTGGAGCTAAGAGCTCGATGAATCAGCTTTGATACTCCGCCACCGACCAAGTCTGCTGGTGGCTGCTCATGCAAAGTGCTCGTCGCGGTGGTCTGAAACGGTGAAGGAGGTTCTTCATCGTTTCCCAGGTTTGCAAGGGTGCCGCCTGTGCTCCCATTGATACCATAACGAAGCATCACCCTCAAGTGCCACTACCGCTGCCTCAAGCTTGTCCTCATCAGTAAGCCGATAAAATTGGAAAAAACGCTCCGCATGAGGATCCACCTATCAAGGTTGGTTCCATCGAAGAGCAGCAAGTCAAGCTTGCGAAGCTTCCAATTCGACTAACCACCTTGAAAACCACTATCACTGTAATCTAATTGATGTTACGAGGCGAACGAATTATCTCACTGAGGTTGTGGTTCGTTAACCAGAGAAGAGGGAAGTTCAGAACGGTGACAAGCAGCGATTTGGGATTTAAAGTCTGTCTTGGACGCTGCCATTGCCGTGGTGATCTCCTGAGCCAGCAAATCCGGCGATACCGAGCAATGCGCGACGGCAGTCCAGCGATCTCTTGCTCCAGCAATTCCAGACACTGACCATGATTCAGGCGGGCCATCTTCTGTCTCACGTCATTGCTCTGATATCAATTTGCTAGAGATTAGTTTAGAAAAACAGAGTAATTCAAGCAGAGCAATAGAAAATTAGCCAAACCAAAGATAGATTGTATTGCAAGTCAGAGTAACCATAATAAAACTCCCTTATTTCGAGAGGAAAGGATGCTCTCCAAGGAATATTTTTTACAATAATTTTCTAGATGATTTCCCCCCCATTACAATTCTCTCCTTAAATACCCAAAACTAACTACCAGCTGTGATAACAATCTCAGCACACAAAACAAGGACTAACAAACTTATTTCCTAGATTACCAAATTACCCCTCCCTGTAACTAACTTCCAGCTCACTGTCCAGCTCCAATTTCCATATCTGCCTTCTGTTTGGGCCTTCTCCGAGCATATGTGAAATGCACTACGGGCTTCATAAATTCTAGGAATAGAGGCCAAATGATCCCATGCCCTTCCCCACTCTCTAATCTAATTTCCACCCAAAAAAAAAAAGGTTTATAAAGACTTGGTATTAATAATCCCATTCCCAACCCATAATCCCACATACCAAATGCCCCGTAAGGGGATTCTTAGATATATACCTAGGTTCAGGGCATAGCGAGGAGCCATTTGAGATGCTAAGGAACCCAAGTTGCAGACCTGACCTGGGGGTACAGAGGCATGCAACTTAAGTCAAAATTTAACGCTTCTTGGATCAGGCTTATTGACTAAAACAAAAGCAGCAAAAATTATGGGAAACATACAGAAAGAAAAGGGTACATGGCTCTTAAAACTGAAAGTTCGCTGTTTCGTTGGCTGTTTTTTTTAAGAATGGCAGAAATAGTATAATTTCCTATTTATAACTACCGATGGCTTAGTATAGCTCAGAGCAACTGTTTAATACATATACATCACTTTCTTCAACCCCACCCCGCCACAACACACACACACTGCAAAAGATAAATAAATTATATCTTCACAATTTGATATGTAGTGGTAGAATGTGTTTTGGTTAAAGAATATAGTCCCTAAATTATATCTAAGCAAAACTTGGGGGTCTTCTTTCAATTAACCACTCAACCTGGAATTCATTAGAATTTATCATCGTGTAACTGTTACACTCTCCATCCTCAATATAAAACTGTTCCATTTTATTTTAGCTATAAAAAGCTTGGCCAGTATATCATGGCTTTATACATTGGAAGTCTATGATGTAATGATTGCTTTGAAGGCTATGTGAGTATATATGGAAGCAAGGATGAGAATTGACAAAGAATGCAAGTGCTTGGTATTTCTGTTGACGGATCAACTTTAGACAGCCATATCTGCATTCAAGGCTTGAAGATGAAATTTGGGTCCAAGAGCTTTCCGTCATAAAATCATAAGCCCATATCCAACTTTACATGAGTGAGATGTAGCTATTTGAAGTTAATTGTTGAAATTGTTAATCAACTGTGAAAAGTTCAACTTTGTAAAATTTCAACTCCTGAGTGCAAAAATGTGGATGCTCATGCAGATGGTAGAAGAACCTGAAAATCTACATCTCTTATGTTTTGAATTAAAAGGTCATAGCCATTATTTTGTAATCTAAAAGCCCATATTAGACATTTCGTAAATTATTCTACACTCTAGAGTAGAAGTAATTGCCTTATAAATGGGAAAGAATCAACTTGTGATGATTGTTTCGTGAATGTAATGTTTTAATGTTGCTAAATGCATCTTTCCTGCTCAAAGTTATGCATATATTTATGCCATGTGATGTGTGCAGTTTATATTGTGATAATGGTTACCTATTTCACTTTCTTTTCTTGTGGTGTTTCATTCCATTATTCAGTTGCCAATGTGTCATATCCTGTCTTATTATTTTATTTTATTTTCTTATAATTCAGTATGGACCGGTTCCAATGATGTACCCTCAGCGGCCTGGCCAGATTGAATGTGATGTAAGTATTAAACAAACTCATATATCTCTTGTTACGTTTGCCTTTTGGCCTATCTGTGAGGAGTGATAAAATCTATCTCAGAGCCTTCATCACTTGATTTTTTCTTCTACCCTAGGGTTGTCAATTTGCTAAATTATTTCTTAAATCTGTTATTCCTGATGCTATCTGTTATTTTGGTGTACAATCTTCTGGTTGGGCCTATTTTGGGGTTGTTCTGTTTCTTTTTAAGGACTACTATATATAAGCTCCCTAGGTTTTAACCGAGCCTATTATGTAATTTGATTTCTTCCTTGAGATCAATAAACATCCTCTCGCTTGTACCTGAACGTTGTAGCTAGCTCATTATTTAGTGAACCTTGTATATCCATGTGTTCTTATATGTTCGTCGTTAATCTTTCTTGCACTTGCTACAACACAATCTATAGAAGGATCCTTTACATCAATTTTGTTTAGACTGCATTGAAACTTGTTAAATTCCTTTTGTGGTCATCACTAGAGCTTTTTCTTTTTGCTAATGGCGGTGCTAATCTGCCCTCCACCCTTTTCAATTTTCATCTTACTATACGTACTATGTTTAATGTAAATTTCCACTTTGGTTATAATAATTTCACTTTGGTGCTCTATGGATAAATAACTCCACTTTGGTGCCCCAAGCTTGTAAACGATGTCTCACTATGGTTTTGGTTTGATAATTTTAAATTTCTAATTTGATGCCCTGGGGTTTTTATTCACTTTGATACCCTGAAATATTCATTAATGCTCACTTTAGTAACCAATAAATTTCTTTAGTCTTATTTTATTACAAAGGAAAAAAATATTAATCAAATTAAGAAAAACATTAAAAAAAAAAAAAAAAATTAATTTTTTAATTTTTTTTTTGGTTCTTTTTCAACTCTGGTGCCTTATAACTTGTATTATTGTTGAAGTTTTAACATATGAATAACCCCGTTAGTTATATTCTATAGAAAAGGGGGCTACCTCTTGTAGCCTATCGATGAAGATAAATTTCTCAAAAAATATATTTTATTTCTATTATTAAACCATTTGGATTTTCAAACTGTTCACACTACATTGTTTGACCATATTTTGTGATTTATCCGTAAAGAAAAAAATAGTCATGTAAGATATCAACTTTTTATATATATTTTTTTATTATTAAAGTGTAATTAAAGATATTGATCGTAAAAGCAATACCAATATATTGACAAGTGTGAAATCGCAAATGGTGCAGTAAAAAAAAAAAAAAAAAACCGAAGTTTTTTTTTTTTTAATTTTCTTAACCAAGAATTATTCTCTATTTGAAAAACTTCACATGCTTTTAATTCTTTTCTAAGTAAATAAAATTATGTTTTGTTTATATTATTATTTTACTCAAATTTTAATAGAGAATTAATATTACTAGTTCCTTACAACAAAATCTCTCTTTCTCTTGTCTATTACATAAGTGGATGTAATACTAAACAAAAAAAAAAAAAAAAAAAAAAAAAAAAAAAAAAAAAAAAAAAAAAACAAAAGATGTTTTGCTCATGGCTATTACATTGAGTGGGTGCAATTTAACTTTTAAAAAGGATGAACTAGTTATATAATTGGAAAAAATAAAATAAATAAATAATCCCACCTATTGATTTTTCAAAAAATCCCACCTTTGCTCCCAATCTTCATTTAACAAACCATTAGGTGTTGGTGACCAATTTTCTTAGGTTTTTTCCACGTGTTAGCGTTTAATAGGTCTATTATTTAATTTATAATTAAAAAACAAAAATAATTAAACGAAAAAAAAATATTTAAAGCCCCTAGCCCCGCCTGTTTATGGCCTAGACAACCACCCTTGCTCCGCCGGCCGGATCTAAACAACCCACCACCTTCCCCTCCCCATCCCCAACCCAACCCCCAAAACCCTAGCAGCCACACCAAAACCCCAATAGACCCCCCCCCCCTCCCCAAAATCGCCACAAACCACTCCCAAAACACCCAACCATAGTTTCCGAGGTGGCTAGGGCAATTTTTTAGGGTGGTGGTTGGTATTTTCAGGGTAGGTGGGATTTTCAGCTTGCTTGAACTAATTTTTGGGATGGCTAGGAGATTATCGGGGGTGTTTGTTGTGTTTTCGAGGGTGGATGATTGGGTTTCTGGGTGGGTGGGGTTTTCGGTTTGCTTGAACCCAGGGTTTTAAAATGCGGCCACATCGTTACGTATCGGCCGTTTTGGAACGGATTTGAATTTTATCGAACCGAATTTTCCGATTCAGCACGTTGCATTTCGAAGCTCCGCAATTTTGGCCGTTACGGCCGTTATGAATTGAAAATCGGCCGCATCAAGCGTTCCCGATGGAGAATCCAAGGAAAAAGATCCCAAAGTCTAAGTTTTCCTGCGAGGGATCTGTTTTTCCATGAAAGTCGATGAAAACTATCACATCTTTTTTGTCTTTTAAATAAAAATTGGGTAGTGGAATGAATAGTGACAGCTATATGTTACCTCTTTATATTTTTTTGACTTCTCACCTGACCCCACCAGCCATCACTCTTCCTCTTCCTCTTGCTCTTCCCTCTTTTATTTTTTCCTTCTCACCCACGTGACTTCCTTTTCTAATTACTACTGTACTCTTTTATACTTTTTTTAATTACATTTATATGACGTAGTAAGTTTACTACGTATATTGTATACTTGTACACCGCACTATTGTAGTACTGTACAAGATAAAAAGGGGATATATATTGAAAAATAAGATTTTCAAAAATTATGAGAAACTTTATTATAAAACTTATAAAAACTAACATAAAATAAATTAGGGTGACAACCGCGACGCGTTCCGCGATCAACGCATCAATTCCGTTACCGAATTACCGCGACCTTTCCGTGATCGCGACCGAAACCACATTTTCGAACCATGCTTGAACCATCATTCAGGGTGGCTAGGGGATTTTCAGGGATGTTTGTGGTGATTTGGGGGTGGCTAGTGGGGTTTCTGGGATGGGGTGGGGATGTGGGTTGTTAGGGTGTTCAAGGGTATTATCTCTGGGGGTGTGGTGGCAGTTCAGGTGCAAGGGGTTTTGGGGTTGCACCGTGGCAGCAAGGTGAGAGGAGAGTGATATATAGAGAAAAAAATGGTAACCAGTCAAATGGATCATTAGAAGAAGATTGAGGGCAAAGGTAAGGATTGTTTTGGGAAAATCAATAGGTGGGATTGTTTTAGGAAGACCAGTGAAAGTTGGGATTATTTATTTCCATTTTTCCTATAAAATTTCCCCTATTTAAAACCAAGTAACATTATAATATCTAGAAACTTTTATTGTAATGAAAATCAAAATACTTTTACTTTTATCTATCATGTTTCTTTGGTAATTTTTACTGAAGGTTTATATTTGGTTTGGTTTAGGGTCTAATGATTTGTGGTTTGCAGCAGCTTCTGATTATGTTCCCTATTTTTTTCCCCTCTTCTATGCAGTTCTATATGAAAACTGGAGAATGTAAATTTGGAGAAAAGTGCAGGTTCCATCATCCTATAGACAGATCTGCACCCACAAGAAACCAGACCCTGGAACAAAATGTTAAATTTACCCTCGCGGGTCTTCCGAGGAGAGAGGTATGCCTATGTATCTAATTATTGTTGAAAGGGAAACATCTTCACTGTGCCATGTTTTAGGCTTAAATTGTTGGTGTACAATATGTTGCCAAGTTTCTGTTTTGCACATTTTTATTTTCAGAGGCATTGAATATTAATAACTTGTCAATTTCTTTTGTTGTTTTGGCTTCTGGCATCAAATATTTTGTTGGATTGAAGTATTATTTGAAACGATTTCTGGACTCTTTACGTCTTTAGTCTTTGAATCCAATCTCCTTCATTCGCTTATTGGCCTTAGTGCCTTACAGCAGGCCTAAGAGCAAGGTTTGGAACCCCAATCCCCCCCTTTGAAGGGAGAGGGGTGAACCTTCTGTCTGATTCAATCACATCTATTGCTGCTTTTGAACCTTCATTTTTAGAAACTCCTGAACGAGAAAGCGGTATGTATGGTTGGCGTATGCCTGGAAAGTAGTCCTGAATGATATCATCTACTGCACCTAGTTATGTTTTCATTTGTGCTCCATATGCAGATCTAAAGCTTCTTTTAAAAAACAAAAAAGAAACAAATCTCTCTTTCGGAAAATGTTTGTTGATTATCTTCCGAACTGAATTATTGGTTCAAATGTTTGCTAGCTGCTAAAGTATGTTGTAGTTTTCTTTAGCTGTCTTCATTTCTGTAGAGCTTGTTCATAACATAATTAAATAAGTTGGTAATGAACTCATATGAACAAGTGTACCTCATTTGTGTTCATTAAAGGAGCTTCAAACTTGTTCAAGCTTGGCAATACTCCCTTAGTCCCCTAGATAGTAATCTTAAGAATTTTATTTAACTAGAGTGTATCTATGCTAATGCATGAAATATACATAATTTAATGTATGTTAAAAACAAATAGTAGAAGTGGAAAATATATATATATATTTTTTTTTTCTTATTACCATCATTACTACTACTAAATTATTTTTATTTTTTTGTTGATTGAGTCTCTAGAGACTTTGAATGTAATGGTTGAGCACTTTAGGGGGGAAACTAGCTTACAATCATTATGTCTATACTGCACCATCTTTAGTAGCAAAATTGACACAGAAAAAAATATTGTCTAATGTACAGAAGCTAGACATGGACATATAAAGACTGCTTGTGGTCGAATGTTGATTAATCTTGCCATCTTCTTGTAGTATGACTTGATATAAACACTTTGTATCTGCTTTCGTTGCTAAGTCCACAAATTTGGATCCATTGTTTACAGGGTGTTGAACATTGCCCCTTTTATATGAAAACTGGCACATGTAGCTATGGGGCTAATTGCAAGTTTGACCACCCGCCTCCAGGAGAGGTCATGGCCGTGGCAGGACAGGAAACTTCCACAAAAGCTGAAGAGGAAGAAACCGAGGATGGAGAGAATGTCGCAACAGCTGAATAATAGCGGCAGACTGTTAAGATTGTTGTATAAGTTCAGAAAAGCTGTTTATGATTCCTGTTGATTTGTAGTTATGTGATTATGTTTTCGTCATGTTAATTGTCTAATCTATGCATACTTTTTACTGTTTGACAGCCATCAAATTTAAATCATTCAGGTGTTCAGTACTTCAGTGGTTGTGTAATCGCTTGATACTAGTGATATCTTATTCCCAAACTGCGCTTAATATTTCTTTTGCTTGCGCATGTGTATTGTTAACAGGCCTGATTATTGGGCAAGTCGGGGCTGGTTGGTGTGGAACATGGGTTGGTAGCGTGCCAGTAGAAATATTATGCTGGTCAGGGTTGGGTACAAAGTAAAGCGGGTCATTAACAGACCTTTTCTATTTCACTTCAAAATCATAATAAAGTAAAGCAGGTTATTAACAGGCCAACCTTTAGTAATAACAATAGTAGGGGTATCTATTTGGTTTTCGGATTGGATTTAGGCAAAATCCAATCTGATCCGAATTATAATTCGGTTTTCAATTTTGTAATCTGATTCGATCCGAATTATTCTCCCAATTCAATCTGATTTAATCCGAATTAAAATTTGATTATTTGGATTTGAACTAAAAATTCGAATGAAAATACATTAATTTTAGCGTCTAGTATATATAAAATTCTATTAAATAATAACATTTGTTCAAGCCTTAATATTAGTACAAGTCTTGTAAATAGTCATGATTGAATTAAATTTAATTAATACTAAGATAATACAACTATAAGGCACACCATTACACCAATTTATGCACCAAATAGCATCAGCAAACTATAAGGAAGAACCATGCAGCACCAAATAGCATCAGCAAACTATAAGGAAGAACCGTGAAGCGCGTGATACGTATGTGTATAGGTGAATGCACCACACACACACACACACATATAGGACTGGGTTATAATGAGAACCAATTGTAAAATAGGAACTAGGAACCAATGAGGACCGTCAGATCTAGGAAAAGAGGCGCGCGATCTGACGGCTCATATTCGTTCAGACAAATTAAATGCAAAATTCATTTCAGCGCCTTCTCTCTCTCTCTCTCTCTCTCTCTTTCTTTCCGCATTTTTCTCTCGATTTCCACCATTTTCTCACTCTTCCACGCCATTTTCAACTGCAAAAACCTTCGAAAACCATCATAACCGTAAAAATCAACTGCTCAATTTTGCTATAAAGTAACAATTTCATGTTCAACTGTCTTCATTTTTCAATTTTGGAACAAAAAGTTTTCGAAAATTGACGAAAATAAGCTATTTTATCACAACTTCGAAGTTCATACTACTTTGTTTATTTTTGTTGCAATTTTTTACTTATATTTGTGTTTTTTGCTTGATTATGTTGAAATTGAAGTAGCAGAACTTGAATCGGAGAAATTCGAAGTTCAATTTTGGTGTCTTCATAATCATGTATTATCGCAAATTAGTTCATTTTTATTCAAAGTATGATTAATATACTTATCGTTTATGTGCAAAATTTGTTGTAATTTAGGTTAAAATCGACATGCATGAAAAAATTATTCAAATTTTTACTTATATTTGCATTTTTTTTTTGCTTAATTATGTTGGAATTGAAGTAGCTGAACTTGAATCGGAGTATTTGAAGTTTAATTTTAGTGTTTTCTTTTCGATTTCTTCATAATTAGATATTATCGCAAATTTGTTCATTATTGTTCAAATTATGATTAATTTTATTTAAGCTCATACTAATTTATAATAATTTTGTTTAATTTATGAGCAATTTTTTACTGCATTATTGTTGCTATAATACTTCTGTTCTACTTGAGTGTCAGAAATTTGCTAAGAGTAAATAAAAAATTATTAAAAGTAAGTAAAAATTAACTAAAAGTAAATTATAAGTAGTTGTTTGAGTTTATATAGTTTTGAGTGTATAATTTTTTAAAAGTAGTTAGAAATTTGTAAAAAGTAGATAGAAATGTGTTAAAAGTATACAGAAATTGAGTAAATGTGTATATAAAAAATGATGTTAATCTTTGCTCATTGCATTAACATATACATAATTCTTGATCATATTATATTTGTTTTGAATTGCTCACATATTAAAATGGCCAAAAGAACAAAGAAAAAAACAGATCTACCAAAGGATATTGCTTCACCAAAGAAGGCTGCTGCAAATGAAAAAGTTACTGCAGCTAAGAAAACTCCTGCACCCAAGAAATCTCCTGCAGCCAAAAAGAGTCCTACAGCCAAGAAAGTTCCTGCAAATACAAAGCAATCTCCAATTAAAGGTATATAATATAAAGTAAATGGAGACTGTTATAAAGTGAATAGAAACAGCTATGAAGTAAATCATTTATCTGTATAAATCTGTGTAACAAATATTGCATACTATTACATTTTTTAATATAAAAAGTCAATGGTTAGTGTAGTAAATAAAAAAGCTTATAAAGTAAATGAATATGTTTTAAAAGTTTATTAATATGTCTATACTTATAAACTGATTGCGTAAACTAAATGTAATAGGTACTAAGCTTCAAAGGATTTCAAAAAAGTAAATATTGATAAAGAGAAGAATTAAGGAACTAGAAGCATCAAAAGGTTCATAAAAGTTTATAAAATTAAATTCATATGTTAAGTATTACATCAATGTATTAATCTATTATAAAGTAAATAGAAACTGTTATAAAGTAAATAGAAACTGTTATAAAGTAATTAGAAACTGTTATAAAGTAAATGTTGAAGTAAATAGAGACTGTTATAAACTAAATATATAGATACTGTTATAAAGTAAATAGAAACTTTTATAAAGTAATTAGAAACTCTTCTAAAGTAAATCGAAACTTTTATAAAATAAATTGTTATATAGTGAGCTATTTACTGTTATATGTCTATGATGTTTATTGATAACTTTAATAAAGTAAATATAAATGTTATCAAAGTTGGTTAACATGTTTTAACAAATTATAGGAACAAAGAAAAGGGTAAAATCTAAATTGAAAAATAGCAATTATGAACCAGAAGTAGATTAGAATGAGAACTGAGATGGTTCATCAGAAGAAGACAAAAAAAAGGGGAAAAGGTCATTTAAAGAAGAAATTGAAGCTTATAAAGTAAATGAATATGTTTTAAAAGTTTTTTAATATGTCTATACTTATAAACTGATTGTGTAAACTAAATGTAATAGGTGCTAAGCTTCAAAGGATTTCAAAAAAGCAAATATTGATAAAGAGAAGAATTAAGGAACTAGAAGCATCAAAAGGTTCATAAAAGTTTATAAAATTAAATTCATATGTTATGTATTACAGCAATGTATTAATCTATTATAAAGTAAATAGAGACTTTTATAAAGTAAATAGAAACTGTTGTAAAGTAATTAGAAACTATTATAAAGTAAATATTGAAGTAAATAGAGACTGTTATAAAGTAAATATATAGATACTGTTAAAATAGAAACTGTTATAAAATAATTAGAAACTGTTATAAAGTAAATATTGAAGTAAATAGAGACTATTATAAAGTAAATATATAGATACTGTTATAAAGTAAATACAAACTGTTATAAAATAATTAGAAACTCTTCTAAAGTAAATAGAAACTTTTATAAAATAAATTGTTATATAGTGAGCTATTTATTGTTATATGTCTATGATGTTTATTGATATCTTTAATAAAGTAAATATAAATGTTATCAAAGTTCGTTAACATGTTTTAACAAATTATAGGAACAAAGAAAAGGGTAAAATTTGAATTGAAAGATAGCAATTATGAACCAGAAGAAGATCAGAATGAGAACTCTGATGGTTCATCAGAAGAAGACAGAAAAAAGGGAAAAGGTCATTTAAAGAAGAAATTGAAGCTTGACAATTCTGAACATGATGTACATGAAGTTATTGATATTAATGATGATAGTGATGGTAATCTAGAAATCAAGAAAACACACTGCAGACCCAATGCAGTTGTTGATTTGATAAAGGATTTTAGTGAGCAGCAAAAAAAAGATGTCATAAGTATTGGTTTTGGAGGGCTGCTTCAGCTAAAATTAACAAGAATTTCTACAAAAATTCTTCCATGGCTTTGTCACCATTTCAATGAAAGCAGCTGCATGTTCAAGATTGACATGTTGAAGGAATTTTCAGTTAGTTCTTTTGATGTTGAAGATATATTCTTGCTTCCACATGTAACTGAGAACAAGGTGAGTTTTTAGTTAAGGAAGAAACCTCTATCTAACTTGCTGATTCAAAAAGAATGAAAGAAGAAGCTAGGAATTCCAGAAGATGATGAGATAATTTTGAATAATTTGGAGACCAAATTAAAGACACTAAAGGAAGGAGGGGAGGATTTTAAAAGATTTTTTGTGATGTATGTTTGCAGTATATTCTTAGCCCCTGTTGCAAACAGAGTGATTGATTACAAGATAATCAATTATGCAGACAATGTGAAAGAAATACATAACCTAGATTGGTGTGGTTATGTGATGAATAATCTGTACAAATCAGTGAATAAGAATACTATAAAAGTAAATGAATATGTATTAAAAGTATAGATTAAAATGACAGTTAAAACATAAGATAATATATAAAGTAAAGGATGTTCTGATTAAAGTAGATAATATTGTTATTAAAGTTAAAGAATAGCTATTAAAAGTACACATTGTATTTCCTATAAATATATAATATAAAATATAAAGTAACAGATGTTTTAATTAAAGTAAATAATATGTTTATTAAAGTAATTATACTATAAATTTGTTTTACTCATATATTGCTTTACAAATGTTAAAGGTGGAGGAAATGTCAAACTTTCTGAAGAGAATTAATCATGAAAAAGCTGATGAAATTCTTGAATATGAGTTTGATGAAGTTAACTTCAAGTGGAAGACACCAAGATATACTCTTGATTGTGATGTTTTTGCAATGATCCATATGCTGTGTTTCTCTGGAGAGAGTTTTGATTCTGACCTTGATTTAGAAAATAAGAGAAAGGTGTATCGTGCAGAAATATGTGCTGCTCTTGCTTTGGCAGACATAAACACAAAAAGAAAACAACTTGAGAAAAAAAAAATTTCAAGGTTCAGGGTAGTTAGAAAACTAGAGAAGGAGAAAGGAGTGGAAGATATGATTTGTGTTTATGATTTCTTGAAGAAACACAAGGAAGTAATGCATAACATGAGTTTGCAATGTCACCAAGTGATTGACTACTTAGCAATTAATGACGGTGAAAACTTTCCAAACAAGAGGTATATTTTATACTTCCTGAAAAAAAAATAATCATATTGCATTATATATAAAATTGTTT